AAGGTAATCCTACCAAGGAGGACTCAGAGAGTGAGAAAGCCTCCAGAAAGTTTTGTAGTGCAGAGTGCAAGAGCCTGTACAGTGGTGGCTGATGAGCCTGAGAGTTTTAAGGATTTGCAGAGTTATCCTGAGAAGGAGAAGTGGTAAAACATTTTGATTATTTAAATGCTATTCTTGAGAAAGAAGTGTTCATGGAACAACCTTTGGGTTTTGAACAGGACAGTGATAGGAGAGTGTACAAGTTGAGAAAGGCTTTGTATGGTTTGAAACAGAGTGCACGGAGTTCGAATCTTTGCATTCATAAAGAGTTGGTGAAACTAGGGTACAAATGCAGCCTTGCTGATGTGTGTGTTTACACCAAGAGAGATGTGACGTTGGTGATTTATGTTGATGACTTGTGTGTCACAGCTAAGTCAGAATGGGAAATTCAGGCAGTACAGAGAAAATTGACAAAGAAATTTGTGCTTAAGGATTTAGGATGTCTGAAGAATTACCTAGAGATTGAGGTAGAATGGACTGAGGATGGAAGATGTTTGCTGAGTCAACAGAAGAAGATAAAAAGGCTGATTGAGAAATGTGGACTGCAAAGTGCTAAAGTAGTGAAAAGTCCTATGACTCCTGGTTATGCCAGTAGTGAGTCAACAAAGGAGTTTGACAGTCCAGAATTGTTTAGAAGCATTGTTGGGAGCCGACGTTTATTGCAAACAACACAAGGCCAGATATTTCTTTTGCAGTGGGAGTACTTAGCCGGAAGGTGAGCAATCCAAAAGTTGAGGACTGGACTGCAATAAAACATGTGTTAAGATATCTAAAAGTTAGCAAAGACAGAAAGCTAGTGATACAAAGCACCATGGTTCAGCTTGATTGTTTTGTTGATAGTTCATTTGCATCAGAGTTACATGACAAAAAGTCAGTGACTGGTTTATTGATAAAGTTTTGAAAAAGTCCAATAGTTTGGCGCAGCAGGAAGCAGAACTCTGTAGCTTTGAATACAGCTGAGGCTGAGTTTGCAACATTGTCAGAAATGGTTGCAAAAATACAATAAAT